AGATAAGCACGTTACTTGTCCCTGCGAGACCGCCGGCAGAAGAAGACATGTCCCGAGAAGCACGAACGAAAGCCTCCAGGATAATATCTTGAGCCTTGAAAGAGCGTCTACGGCGTGTTCCAAATTCGCTAACGCGACAACCAGCTTCAAAAAGCCGACTAGCTTTCGTATAAGCGAGCTCTGGGGGTGGGGTTAGTTAAATTTGGACGAAGAATAGACGAAGGTAGGAAAATGAGTTTACCATCTTGGCCATCATAGCTCCAGTCAGTGTCCACAAGCTGGAAATAGGTCTCGCTGAGACATGCCATGAGAGGTACTTCCCATAGGATAGCCTCTACCCATGGCCCGGATATTGATATTTCGATGCGACCCTTGAGATTGTCCTCTGTGACGGGGATGTACTTGATCTTGACTTGTTCGGGTTTGTAGCGATAGGCAGAGAGATAGGCAAGATATTCCTCCGTGAAATAAGGGCACGTTGTCCTCAACCACTGCAATTCATCGTCTGTGAGGGTGAGGTCGGTGAAATCTGACGATAGACAAGAGAGACGATGGTCAGAGGGAGAGGTTCACGAGTTTATAAAATCGGAGACGAACGAGATACAGCAGTGCGAAAGCGCTCGCTAGATTGACGAGTAAAAAGGGTAGAAGCGTTGCGATTGGTGAAGCGATAGGTAGCATGCACTGTTGGAAATTGTTGCAAGACGGCTTGTTGCATCGAGAGCTGTGACAATAATTTATGAGTGACTCGGCTACATGGTTAAGGATTGAATATACTTTATACAAATCAGTATCGAGAATTGAGCATGGAACTGGAAGATCTGAGAGAGGTGCAGACATTGTAGGTCAGAGGAGAAGGGATTTCAGAAAAAAAGAGGAAGTGGTTTGAATTGGTTGTAATAAAAACTTGGGGTCTATAAGTAGATGGACAGAGTGGCAGGGTCCACAACACTCACACGCATACCACCATCATCAATATATCTCATGGTAATTATCCTTTTTTATTTTATTTTACATTCATTTCAATTAATCAAGTTTTAAAAAAGGCTTCAAGAGTAGAAGTTCTTAATCAAGGTGGTTTTCGTTCAGATGGAAGAAGGCAGTTCGAACTGCGCAATTTCGAAATTGATTTATCCCAGCAAGGTCAAGCGGATGGTTCTGCATCGGTATCTCATGGTCTTACTCAGGTCATGGTATCTGTCTTTGGCCCGAGGGAAGCAAAAATCCGTTCTCATACCTTTCATGATCGTGCAAATTTGAACGTCGAAGTTTCTGTCGCCCCATTCAGCACTGGTGATAGAAGGAAGAGGTCTCGAGGTGACAAGTATGTCCATATCTTCACACTTTTTCTATTTCTTTCCGGACTATTGATTAAAGCGCGTGTTCAGACGTCTGTTGGAATTCGCAGCAACTGTGAAATCTACGTTTGAACCGGTGGTTCAGACAAATCTATATCCCCGATCACAGATAGATATCTTCATTCACGTCATGCAGCAAGATGGTGGCCTGTTACAGGCAGGTATCAATGCGACAACGCTTGCGTTGATGAATGCAGGTATACCCATGATTGACTTTGTCTGTGCCATTACGAGCGGTGTCCATTCAACATCACCTCTACTCGACCTTACCACGCTCGAAGAAAATGATGTCCCAAACATGACTTTGGCCATGATGCCCAAAACACAAAAAATTTCACTAGTGACAATGGAAACAAGGCTGCATGTGGATCGATTCAGCGAGATAGTCAAGTTGGCTACAGAAGCCGGACTTGCGATACATCGGGAGATGAAAGTGGCGATTATTGGACGTGCAAAGGTTCTGACAGAATCATTGGAAAGTGGAAATAGACAGAGTGGGAGTGGGATGGAGGTGGAGGAGAAACATGAATAGAGATATAATAAATAAAAATTGATAAAAATAGATCAAGGTTCGATTCTGCGGAAGCAAGCCAACCATTTTTGACCCTGGTTTCGTTCAACCTTTTTTCCTTCTTCCGTGCTCGTGTATACTGCGTCGATGATTGGACCTTTACCTTCTTCCCTTAAGACTTGCTCCGAAACTGGTTCAAAGAGGGGAAAATTTTTAAGATGAGAATCCATCCATTGATGTAGATCATGAACATCGGTGATGGTGTAGACAATGCCGCCTGGACGAAGAACATATGCGTATTCTGCGAGAAGAGTTGGGGAGATAATGCGAGCCTTATGCTTGCGGGATTTGAAGTGGGGGTCGGGGAAAAGGAAGAAAAGCGCGGAGAGGGAGTGTTTAGCGAAGTAGTTGGGAAGGAACTTCATGGCGTTTGCACGGACTACCGAAACATTCTGGTAAGGAGCCGAGTGAGGTTCGGCATTACCAGATGTTAACGGCGGCGGCGGCGGCTGAGATGATACCCTCAAAGCAGCAATTCTATCCTGAACATATTGGGAGACTTGTACCCTAATTTCGAGACCTAGACAAATGAAAAGCTGTGAATGTGGGAGAAGATTAATGTGAGAAATTGAATATACCTAGCATTAGAACATCTGGATAGAGAGGTGCTAAAGCAATAAGTAGACCACCGAAACCGCAGCCAACATCAGCGAATTCAGGTGCTCTTCCTGATGATGCGAAAGCAGGATAATGGATAGCCCAATCGACAGCATCGGGTGAGGTAGGATAATCTAGTGAGTGATCCGAGAAAGGATTGGCATGAGCTCGTTGACGATAATGTTTTTTCTAATTTTATATGTTAGATTTTGAAACAATTTAAACAAGAAGAAATAAAATAAAATACTTGAGGTAATATAGGTTGGTTTGTTTCTTCTGGCTGTACTGGGCGCTTCCTCTTTGCCATGATGAATTGATGTCAACAGTTAAAAGAGAGATCATCGTCAATGTCATCAGAATCTTGGGGCTAATCATGTGACGTGGAGAAATTCGGAACGGAATAAATATAAATATAAAATATATAAACCCCGAATGTTTTTTTGGTCCATTAACTGTTAACCACCATGTCCGCTCGTCTCTTCAACGTCGTATGTTCTTTATAACATTATAATCCTGTTTAATTCCTAATTATTTATTGTTTAGACACGTTCCTCTGCTCGTCGTGCAGCTTTCGCAGCTCGCTTCCAATCGACAGCTGCGAGACCCGTCACCCTCAAGGAACGTTTGGCTGAGCTCATTCCAAAGGAAATTGAGAATGTACGTCTTGCTCGCGTTTCTTCATTTCGAAATACCTTAATGGTCTTCATTAGGTTAAAGCCACCCGTGCTGCTCACGGCAAAAAGTCCTTTGGACCGGTCGTGGTTGACCAGCTCTACGGGTGCGTCATCGCCGCTAAATCCGTTCTCGATTTCTGTTTTCCTTACTTGTTTCCAGCGGCATGCGTGGTCTCCCTGCTCTCATTTGGGACGGTTCCGTTCTCGATGCTGGTACGATTCTTTCATAGCTTTGTCGTCACTTTCAGTTGATTAAATACTGGCAATAGAGGAGGGAATCCGCTTCCGCGGTAAAACCATTCCTGAAATTCAGGAGCTTCTTCCAAAAGCCCCCGGTGGGTCCGAACCTCTCCCTGAGGGTCTCTTCTGGTTGCTCGTCACAGGCGAAATCCCCACCCAGGAGCAGGTCGCTGAGCTCTCCCGTGACTGGGCTGCTCGTTCCGCCATCCCAGAGTTTGTTGAGGAAATCCTCGACCGATGCCCACCCACCCTTCACCCCATGAGTCAGTTCTCTCTCGCTGTCACTGCCGTATGTCTTTTCTTCCTTGTAGTATGAAACGCGTTTTAACATCGCTCGACTCAGCTTAACCACAACTCTGCCTTCGCCAAGGCTTACCAGGAAGGTATCAACAAGAAGGATTACTGGGGACCTACCTTCGAGGATGCCATGGATCTCATTGCCAAGCTCCCCAACATTGCTGGTCGCATCTACCGCAACGTTTTCGGCCAGGGCAAACTCCCAGCTATTGACGCAACCAAGGATTACTCGCACAACCTCGCAACCCTCCTTGGCTTCGGCGAGAACCCAGCTTTCGTCGAGCTCCTCCGTCTCTATATCACCATCCACAGTGATCACGAAGGCGGTAATGTTTCTGCTCACACCGGAAAGCTCGTCGGTTCTGCCCTTTCCGATCCTTTCCTTGCCTACTCGGCTGCTCTTAACGGTCTCGCTGGTCCTCTCCACGGTCTCGCCAACCAGGAGGTGCTCATCTGGCTCCGCAAGATGCAGGGTAAGATTGGTGAAGATGCTACAGATGAGGCTGTCAAGGAATACATCTGGTCGACTCTCAAGGCTGGTCAGGTCGTTCCTGGATATGGTCACGCCGTTCTCCGCAAGACCGACCCGCGCTACACCGCTCAGCGTGAGTTTGCCCTGAAGCACCTCCCTGATGACAAGATGTTCAAGCTCGTCGGCCAAATTTACAACCTTGTTCCTGATATTCTCCTTGAGGTTCGTTTACCTGTTTGGCTATTATGGTATTCATTTCTGACATGTTTCTCGGTAGGCTGGCAAGGCCAAGAACCCCTGGCCCAACGTTGACGCCCACTCTGGTGTCCTCCTCACCCACTATGGACTTGATCAGATGCAGTATTACACCGTTCTCTTCGGTGTCTCCCGCGCCTTTGGTGTTGCTGCTCAGCTCATCTGGGACCGTGCTCTTGGTGCTCGTAAGTTGTTCTTGTATCAATCTTCGTAAACGCTGTTGAATGATTGCCGGCAGCTCTTGAGAGACCCAAGTCATACTCGACCGCCGCCATCCAAAAGATCTTCAAGGACAAGTCATAAGTTGAATGACCATGTCCGTCGCTCGTGAAGTTTAGCATACATACCTACATTGATTAGTGGATAGACATAACTTACAGAGTAACTGCTTAAAATACCAGATAATATCGTTTTGGTTAATTTCATTGTTGGTATTTCAATCCCTGGACCACCACACCTTTTTGTGTCTCTTGCTTTGAACAGTATGACTTGGACACTGAGTAAAATTTGAATCTTTGCATGCTTACCATATCATCGGCCTTATGGTCTAGTCGTATGATTCCTCCTTTGGGTTGATGAATTCCCTTCTGAATTCCAGACTACAATGGAGGAGGTCCTGGGTTCAATTCCCAGTGAGGCCCTTTTTTCATCATCCTTTGAGCACTGTACTCCTTTTCATGAGTGCTTCCATTCTAAATTTCATGGTGCAATCAATCAACATAAACCCAATGTCATGACCTTTGGCAGGTGGGAGCTTGGCTGTGACTAGGGCTGGACAAGAGATAAGAGTTAGATGCATGCTGGGGAAATGAGATGAAAGGGAGAGAGAGAAGGGAATGTGAGATGAAGAGAAATAAGTGACTAACAACTTTGGTGTGTTCCAATGATATGCCAAAAACATGTTCAGCCCTTGAAAACGATGTAAAACCATCATTCGAGGGATCTTGGGACGGCTATGAGGACCGCAAACAGTAGTCAAATGTCTTGGAGGCGTGTGTCAGGACCTTAGAACTTATCAGGTCATGACTAGCACTGAAGTCAGACCTTCGTTGATAAACACCTCTTATATTAACAAGTCTACAAGGCATGCTACTACCCTGAGATCCTAAGAAAGCCTATCTACAAACTCCTACATTGACACTCAACCTATACATCACCATGGATAAAGCCTACGAAGGCATGTGATGCCATCAACGGGGATCACCATGGAACAAGACCTCTAAGAAGCTATGACCTTAAGCGCTGAAGAGCTCTGATCCTATCCTTGAGTCTGAAGGAGGTCTAGACCTCACAAGCTGGGACTATCAGAGGCCAAAGGAGACTTAGGAGAAGGAAACAACAAGAATGAGGGTTACAAATGCAATCGGACTTGGTTGAGGCCAGTCTGAGGGTACCAACAGATGTGGTGAAGCTGGACTAACTGGTGTAAAAGAGGTTCAACCCTCATAATATGGCATGTGATTCAACTCACCAAGCTTTTCTTAGTACCACTTAGTATGCCAGAGTGATTGACGGCTCTCCAAAGACACTCTTGGCTCTTTCTCTTAGTTTCTCTTATGTTTGTTTCGACTCTCTTAGCCAAACCTCTACTCTTGTATAAAAAGCCCTGTAAATCATAGAATAAGAATCAGAAAATCTCCCCAAGACTTAGATAGCAATTGTGTGTGTCTAAGGGCCCAAAGAGTTGTTTCTTGCGTACTTTGAGTGCAACTAGTGTGTTGAATTTGATTGGTTTTTGTTGGATTTTGTGTGTTTGCAAGCTTGGTCATTGGATCATTGAGTGCATTTGCCTGACTAAGGCTCAATTGTTGGTTCTAAGGACATCTTCGGTTGTGGACTGTTGTGTCTTTTGTCAGAGTTAGTGGGAGACATTGCCTTTGTACACCTATTGGTTGTCTTAGGGTCATCTTTGCTATCTCTTTGGGTTATTTTATCTTGAGCCTAGACACTGGCATCATTCCTCAGTCATCTACAATGCTTGGACTTGCTACCTCTAGTTAAAAACACACTTACATAATTCGGCTGCTCCTTGTGAGGAACCGGACAACTTGTCACATTTCCCCCTCAAACACACAGTACTGTTGTAGGATAGGACATTGACGGACACCTTTGTAGCTCATAACAAGACCTTAGACCTTCTATTGAGGTTGTTGGTTTGTTGTGTTGTTGTGTTGGTGTTGTATAGGTGTTCCCCTGCGCTCAGCACATCACCGAGTTTGTTAGGGTGTGGAGGTTTTGGCACCTGGAGTGGAAATGGCCAAAATCAACCAAATTGTGCAAAGGAAAAGACTTGCTGTGAAGCACAGTCAGATGAGGTTCCAACACATGTGAAAGCACTAATTGTGACACATGAACAACAATGGCAGAAGACCAAGCATCATGCTGCTATCATGTTGGGAACTGAGCACCAAAACCTGAGTGTTGGGGGCTGCAAGAGTCTGGAAAGCAGACCCTCAAGCCAATGCCAAATGGAGTGGAGCTCACCAGGCAAGAGGGATGTGTGCAGACTGGAGAACCCACATAGAGCAAGCAAGTTGTTTATTGAATAATGGGTGTAGGAGTACAAGAAGTATTTGGAGACATCAGAGAAGGAAGAAGAGATATAGAATTGGGTATATAAGTGGTACACTTGTTAGAGGAAAGGACAAGACTACAAAGGTACAGTGGCTTACATAAGTATTGCACAGGCTCGTCATGTCCAACTAATTGAAGCACTACTGATGAATAGCATAACCAGTCAGGTTGGTTAAGTGTTGATTAAATATATATACATCTACTACACATATCTAAGACACCAACAATTTGAAATATGCATTTGATACAACAAAATCCTTGAGAAAAGTCAAAAACCCCTGTGCATTACTTATGACTGTGCCTGATCCCAAAAACTGGTGAGCAAATAACAACCAGGAAAGAATAATTTATGAAACCACTTGCCTAATATCTAGTATAGCCACCATGAGCCTTCACAAGAGCAGCAACATGCTCAGGCATGCTCTCGAAAAGGGTGTCCAGGGAAGTCTGTGGGAATTTCTCCCACTCCTCCTGCAGGGCTGCCCACATTTCTTCTTGATTTTGTGGAAGAGGGTCCCTTGACTGGACTAAATGATCTAGCTGATCCCATACATGCTCGATGATGCTCATATCCGGGCTAGAGGGTGGCCAAGCACCTCTATGAGCCACCTTCATACATGAGGGACTGGGTTTAGGCAGTCTGCCCTCATGTGTCAGGACTGGGTTTAGGCAGTGGGGCCTTAGGCAGTCGGTCTGCTGAAATAATGTAGATAATAGGCTATTTGCATAGATAAGAGAGCGGGAGGGTAGATAACAGGATCTGGGATGGGCAGGTGATGTAAACATATGTAAACATGCCTGTATTTGAGGGCAGGATGGGTCTTTGGGTTGTTGGGCAGGCAGGGTGGGGGTACAATGGGGCGGGGACACTTTAAATAATGTTTAGAATATATATATTAATATTCCCAATAATTAGCATGCCCCTCCAGGGGCAGGAATGGGTGGATGTAGATGGGGTGGTTTGGATGTACTTCAAATAGGGGCTTCTTTAATTACACTTTTTTTTTTCCTGGGTGAAATGGCTCTGGAGAGCATATATTAAATGTACTATATAATTCTAATTATTTCCAGCCATTTCCAGGGTGCTACATGGTTGGGAATGGGCAGAACTTCTCACTCTCCCCTGACTACTCTAGGGACTCCCTAGGGACTCATGAGACTCTCTACAGACTCTCTACAGACTTTTCACATATTTGCTCAAATTTACTTTTCTGACATAATAAGCCAAAGAGAGGCATACAGACTCCCTACTGACTCCCTACTGACTTGGTAGGGAGTCTGGTATCCAATCCAAGATTTATGGTGATATCAGACAAATTATGAAATATATAGTTCTCAAATATTTGTGTATATATTCATTCCAACAATTAGTTATCCTGTAAGCCAGTCATCTGGGTCAGTATTGTGAGATTTTTGGTTCACAGCATATACTTGATCCAAAGCTATGTAGATATGTTTTAATTCTTTAGAAATTCTATTAGATAAGCTCTTGTCATTGCTGTTATTAGCCTGGTATAATGGTGATAATAAGCAGATGACAAATGCCAATGAAAATGCAAATAATCAACACTAAAGTAATCCCAGGTCTGTCAAGAGCTGCAGACTCCCTAGGGACTCACTATGGACTTTGACTATCTTGTGTAATATACAAAATTCTGAAGGATCTCTCCCAAATATATGAAATGATAATATAGGGCATCTACTATCTCTATAGTATGTAGAGATTCAATAAAAATCTAAGCCATAAATTGAGAAATAAGGTGAAGAGTCCCTAGGGAGTCTCTAGGGTACTCAGGGGAGAGTGTAAAGTACTCTCATCTGGTGATGAAACCTCTGAGATTGCACCACAAAAATTGAAGGGGAAGGAGAAGGCTATTGAGACAGAATATCCAGGCATAGAATACCCTCAATTTGATCTTGATATTGATCTTGAGTTTTGGGAGACTTTTGGGCAATCTAATGACTTCAATATGCCTGTCGATGAGAGCAGTGATGAGGATGATGATGATGATGATGAAGAAGACAAAGATGAAGCTGCTATGGCAGCTCATGATGCAGCAGACTATGTTGAAGACAATGATAGGGGTGAGGAAGAAGATGACTTTGCGATGTATGTTGAAGAGGAAAGTGAACTTGATGTCATGTCATCTCAAATGGAGGACAAGTTGGATATCAACCACAGTAAGTCTTATTTTATTCATGCTGATACCTTCTAATGGTGTCTTCAGTTCCTGCTAATGGATCTTCCAAAACTACTGGTGGTCATATTCGTGGCAGAGCCTTAGGCAATTCTGCCAAGATGGCTGACTTGGCACACATGGATATACATCAAGAGCCTGAGCCATTAATGGGTCTTGTACAAGTCTATCTGGCTTCAGAGAATATCACTGTTGACCCCAACTCCAATCCTCCTCTTACATCATTTGTCATTCCATCCATGTCTTCTCTTGCTGCTGTTCTTGAAGCTATACTTCAAACTCATCTTCCAGCACTTAAAGGTATATATTTATATTGTCTGTAATTAGATATTTTCTAATTTTTTATAGGTCGCAATCCTTTGGTTCATGTTTGGACTTCATTTGGACAAGAAGGAGCCCCTTTTTGGTTGTCATGGAATTCTGAACAATATTGACTCTCCAAAATATCATGGCCAGTCTTGGTTTGTTGATCAAAGTTCTTCTACTTATATGCTCTATGTTTTATTTGTATGTCCTACTTATATTCATTATGTATTCCATCACTTATCTATCTTGTAGCAAACAACACTTCTATCTACTCCAGCATCCAGTGCTCCTGTCTCAGCTTCCTCCCAGCTCTCCTCTCGTCCTTCTTTTTCTGTTGCTGCAGCATCTTCATCCTCCCGCTCTGCTTCTCCTCATACCACTACTATTGCAAAATCTGGTGGTTCAATTAGCGATGATGCAATCATTACTTTTCTCAATCTTGATCCTGACTTGGCTCAAAAACCATCAACAAGAAGTCCCATTAAAGCCACATACCAATGCTGGGCACACTTCATGGAGAAAAGAAAGGAACTTGCTGAACTTAAAACCACCCATCCAAATTC